CGGGGAGTGGTTAATCTTACATTCCAGGAACAGAGGAGTCTAGCACCATCAAGGGAGAAGAGCATGAGCAGAATGTAGAACCATATCGAGAGAAGCAGCTACACCAGAGATGGAGGCAGAGATGATGACATGGAAAGAAAGAGCAGCTGAGACCTCTAGACTCATGGAAAGAGAAAGGCTGTGTGCTGGCAGCCAGGAGGCAGGCTTGCAGAGTGTGCCCTTGGTTTGTTTAAATGATTATATGTTCCTGATTTTTTTGTGCACATCAAAAAAAAAAAAAAAAAGACAAAACAAAAAGCAGAGAGAATAGAAGCAAATACTGTTGAGTGATGATGCACGGTTGTTGTTGTTGTTGTTGTTGTCAGGTGCCATCAAGTCAGAACCGACTCATAGCGACCCCATGCACAGCAGAACGAAACAATGTCCGATCCTGGGCCAACCTCATTACCGCTGCCACACTTGAGTCCATCAATGATGCCACCTGGCTGATCCATCTCGTTGGGGGTCTTCCTCTTTTTCTCTGACCCTCCACCCTACCCAGCATGACATCCCTCTCCAACGATTGTTTCCTCCGGACAATATGTCCAAAGTAGGAGAGACGAAGCTTAGCCATCCTGGCCTCCAAGGAGCACTCTGGCTGTACTTCTTCCAAAACAGATCTATTGGTTCTTTTGGCAGTCCATGGAACTTTCAGTATTCTCCTCCAACACCACAACTCAAAGGCATCAGTTCTTCTATGATCCTCCTTATTCACTGTCCAGCTTTCGCATCCATATGAGGCTATTGAAAACACAATGGCCTGGGTCAGGCGCACCCTAGTCCTCAAGCTGACATCTCTGCTCTTCAACACTTTAAAAAGTTCCTGTGCAGCAGATTTGCCCAGTGCAATACGTCGTCTGATCTCTTGACTGCTACTTCCGCGAGTGTTGATAGTTGATCCAAGAAGAATGAAGTCCTTGACAACTTCAATCTTTTCTCCATTGATAAGAATGTTGTTTATTGGTCCAGTGGTGAGGATTTTTGTTTTCTTGACATTGAGATGTAATCCATATTGAAGGCTGTGCTCTTTGATCTTCATAAGTAAATGTTTCAAGTCCTCTTCACTTTCAGCGATCAAGGTTGTATCATCATCTGCATATCGCAGCTTGTTAATGAGTCTTCCTCCAATCCTGATGCCACGTTTTTCTTCATAGAACCCAGCTTCTCGTATTATTTGCTCAGCATACAGGTTGAATAAGTATGGTGAAAGAATACAACCCTGTCTCACACCTTTCCCAATTTTAAAACATTCAGTGTTCCCATGTTCTGTTCGAACAACTGCTTCTTGGTCTAGGTACAGATTTCTTAGAAGTACAATTAAGTGTTCTGGAATACTCATACTTCTCAATGTTGTCCATAGCTTGTCATGATCCACACAATCGAAAGCCTTTGCGTAGTCAATAAAGCACAGGTAAACATCCTTCTGATAGTCTCTGCTTTCAGCCAAGATCCATTAGACATCAGCAATGATATCTCTTGTTCCACGGCCTCTTCTGAATCCAGCTTGAACCTCTGGAAGTTCTTTGTCAATGTATGATTGTGGCCGTTTCTGTATTACCTTTAGCAAAACTTTGCTCGCCTGAGATATCAAAGAGATTGTCTGATGATTTCTGCATTCCGTTGGGTCACCTCTCTTTGGAATGGGCATAAACATTGATCTCTTCCAATCAGTCGGCCAGACAGTTGTCTTCCAAATTTCTTGGCAGATGCTGCACGGAGGGGGTAGTAATCCTTACAATGAAATGAAATAAGATAGGATGAGTATAAAATAAATGTTCTCCCATGTAAACCATCACTCAGTTCACAATAAAAACTTTGAAAAACAAAAGTGGAGAATGTTAAAGATGCATGAAGTGATGATGTGAAAAATGTGGTAAATATGGGTTTAATTACAGATCTTTCCTGCCAGACTACCCATTTATGTGATGGCTAGAAGAGGGTATTTGGGTTTAAGGAGTACAGTAGCATAATGGTTCAAAACTACCAGCCATTCCTCAGCAGAAAGTGAGGCTTTATGCTCCCATAAAGATATACAGCCTCAGATACCCAATACAGAGTCACTATGAGTCAGAACCAACTCCATGGCATGTAACCACCACCACTGTATTATGGTGTGGTGCTGTAGGATCAGCACTGAACTGTGAATAATAAGGTCAACAGTTCAAACCCTCTAGCTGCTCCAGAAACCCTATCCAATGTAGCTATGAGTTGACACTGACTCCAAAGCATTTAATAACATACATCTATAATCAAATGTTATGTACCGACTCAAAGGTATCTAACAACAACAACAACATAACCAAAAGTGGAGCCCTGGTGTGGTGCTGTCGGATAAGTGCTCGACGTCAAGGTCAGTTTGAACCACAAGGTTGGTGGCCCAAACTCACCAGGCAATCCTTGGAAATCCTATACAAGGTCGTATGAGTTGGAACTGACTCAACAGCACTTCACAAAGATTACAATAACCAAATGAGGTGAATCTATACATGTAAATGTGGAGAGAGTCCTAAGATGTAGTTAACAAAAGCAGCCAAGTACACAGTTGGGAGCGACTTGATGGCATGTAACAACAACAAGTACAGAAGAGTGTGAGGAATAATATCCCAAATGAATAGAAATATACGTGTATAAATACATAAATGTATCTGTTTGCTTGTTTATATTTGCTTTAATATGGCAGGTTACCTATAAATGTTATGTAGGTATAGGAATGGGCAGCTATAGGACCAGGAAAGTCTTACTTGTCTTAAAAGTACTTTAATACTGTTAAAATTCTTGTCACCAGCATTATTTATTCACTATTAGCGTAGTGGATACGAATCAGGCTGTGAACCTCAGGGTCAGCAGTTTGAAACTACCAGCTGTTCCGTGGGAGAAAGATGAGGCTTTCTGCTCCCGTAAAGATCTTCAGTCTCGGAAACCCTGTATAGGGTCACTATGAGTCGGAACCGCCTCCACGGCACATAACAAAGTCCTGGTGTGGCACTGTAGGATAAGCACTGGACCCCAATGTTGCAACAGCCAGGTCAGGAGTTCAGATCCACCAGCTGCTCCTCAGAAATCCTATACAGGGTCACTATGAGTCAGAACCTACTAGATGACACTGAACAACATTTTTTTTTTTTTTTTTTAATCTCGTAGCTAGATACTGAAGTTGGTATTTATCTGGGGTGTTTACAAAGGGAGCAAAAGGGAATATTTATTAAGTAAGTTTACATGAAAGTTCTAGTCCAAGCCATCCCATTTACCTCTTTACATACACTTGCTAAAAACATGGCTTACAAAACAATGGCTTCCCATACTGTGCACTCCAGGAAGTGAAGACTAGATGTTTCCATGAGAGTCCAAGGTGATACACACAGCAGTTATAAGTAGAATGGAGTACCAGAATTTTCCTGAACAGCCCATTTGCTCAGTAATGTCACATCAGCTATCTCATTTTACGTGGCAACAACTGAAACAACTACATGTGAAGTCCCCTCAGTTGAAGTGCATTCTGTGTACACAAAATTCCTTTAAACTATTAATCAATCTCTGAATACATTCACTGTGGTCTTTATTTAGGCACATTTCAGGGTGAAATAGAAATCAGATGAGCATACTGTTGTGTGAACCTGTGCCATCAACTGCTGTTGAGTTGTTTCTGACTCACAGGAACCCTAACGGGCAGAGGAGAACTGCTCATAGGATTTCCAAGGCTGTAAATCTTTATAAAAGCAAACGGTCACATCTCTCTTCCTTGGAGCAGCTGGTGGGTTTGAACTTCTGGCCCTTCTGTTAGCAGTCAATACTTTAACCACTGTGTCACCAGAGTTCCCGGTACTTATACTAGTAGCCAAAATCCAAAATTAGGATTTTTAGAGAGTTTGTATATCACATTGGAGTCCTAGTGTGGTGCTTTAGGATAAGCACTAGATGGCTAACCACAAAGTTGGCAGTTCAAAGACATCAGCTGCTCCTTGGGGACCCTATTCAGGGTCACTGTGAGTCAGAACACAGTTGGCCACACTTAACAATAGCAAGAGCATTTTATATTGGCTAATTTTATAATTGCGTAAACAAAATTTTCTGCTTGAGGGTAAAGATTCAATTCAATATTGGTTCTTAAGAAAAGGGGGGCGGAGTGCATGGGCACTTGGTTCCTGGAACTTGGGTAATAATTTTTTTAAGAAGATTAATTTCAATGAAAGGGAAGAGTTGGAAGTGTCTTATCTGGTTACTGGTGTTCATTTCAATAAGGTTCTCAGATTGGGATAAGTGGAAATATAAATAAAGTAGTACTGCTTGCTTTTGTTTTTGTTTTGTTTTGTTTTTCTCCCACTTAACACAACTCACAGAGGTGGTAATAATGAAATAGCTTGATTTTACTGTAAAGACTACAATTCTTAAATGCATTCTCCAGTTACAAGGGAGTTGGTTGGTTTTGCTGATAAATTAGTGGTGGTGGTAGTAATGTGCAGTGGAGACGGTTCTGACTCATAGTAACCCTGTAAGAAGCGCTGGTAGCGTAGTAGTTACGAATCGGGCTGCTAACCTCAGGGACAGCAGTTCGAAACTACCAGCTGTTCCCCAGGAGAAAGAGGAGACATTCTGCTTCCGTAAAGATTTACAGCCTCGAAAACCCTATACAGAGTCGCTATGAGTCGGAACCGAATCCACCGCACACCACCACCACCATAGGATTTCCGAGGCTATAAATCTTTATGGGAGCAGAAAGCCTTGTCTTTCTCCTGCGGAACAGCTGGCAGTTTCGAACGGCCGACCTTGAGGTTAGCAGCCCGACTCATAGCCACTATGTCCCTCAAAATGCTGACACTTTGATTCTCAATAGTTACATGTGATGACCTAAGAACCTTTAGAATACGTCTGCTGACATTAGGATTAAACCAAGAGCGCATGAGCTGTTTTTAGAACTACAGTCTGTAAGTATTAACGGGACCTTCATGTTTTCTCTTCAATAGAAAGCCAGACTCGCTAGAATCCGGGCAGCCAAAAGCGGAAGTGCCAACGCTTACATGCAGAGCAAGCGGAATGGTTTACTCAGTAATCAGCTTCAGGTACAGTGTAGCACGTGCTATTTTTCAATGGTCATTGTATTGATATGATATTAACTTAGATCTACTTCACCATATGATTTTATTGTGGTGATAATGAAAATAGCTACTGAAACAACAATGGAATCTTTTTTTATATAACGTCATCCAATACATCCCAACCCACTCTGATTTGTTTTCCCGCCAGTGAGTTCATAATCATGGTGCTCCCTTGCGTGTGAGAATAAAACTGTGTGATCCATAGAGTGATAGATTTTTTGGAAGTAGATCGCCAGATCTTCCTAACAAGGCAGAAAGTGGAATCAAACCACCAACCTTTGAGTTAGCAGTCGAGGATGTTAACCTTCTCACCACCCAGGGGCCCCTCAATTGACCCTAGCAGATTTGAACCCAGGCTATGAGAGATTTAGCAGTGAATAACGATGCCCACTCTTAATTGGGTGATATTTCTGTACTGACTCATGTTACCAAATGAAAAGTCAACACGTTTCTCAAAAACCCAAATGCCTAATTTGTTTTTGTTTCAAAAATATATATGTTCCTTAATGTTCTTCTGAGGATGTCATGACATCTTGCATTAGTTTTCTATAGAAAGCAATACCACTCATGGTTATGAAGATCACACTGTGTAAAATACAGTTTAGGAACTTTACTTTTACCTCAATTGCCATAATATTTAGGATTGCAATTATCTTTACTTAGAAAGCAGCTTTGATGTAATCATTTCAGGATTATCTAAGTATTAGGTTAAACTTTATTATCCAGAGTAATGGTCTTGTTGTTGTTGTTGTTAAGTGCCTTCGAGTCGGAGCCGACCCATAGCGACCCTGTACAGGGTTTCCAAGGGTGTAAATCCTTACGGGAGTAGAAAGCCTCATCTTCTACAGGCTTATAAATATAGTTGACTATAAAAGCAATTGAAAATTTCCATCTAGAGAGGCATGTCTGAAAGATCAGACCACTAACTTGAGCAAAATGTAAATACTAAAAGCTTCAACTTTAAAAGCAACTGCATGTTTATCCTTTTTTGAGTCTTAAAAAAAAAAAAAATGACATTTAATCTCAGAAAATAGGCCCGATCTCTCCCGTGGAAATGTGTCACTGAGGTTCTCATTGTTTGCAAAATCCAATAGAGTGCACCTCTGTTTTCTCTGTGCTCACAGTCCTCAGAGGATGAACAGGCCTTTGTGAGCAAATCCGGCTCCAGCTTTGAAACCCAACATCACCACCTGCTTCACTGCCTGGAAAAGACCACGGTAAGTACCCTGCCGGCCCCACACCCCCACAGTAATCCCATTTGTTTTAGCTCAGTGCTTCCAAATGTGATTTCACTGTCTGCATCCCTGGAAAACATACTCAACATGTAAAAAAAATAACATTTGAAATGAATTGGAAAGACCAAAATGTCATTTCAACTGGTTGTTGTTGTTAGGTGCCATCAAGTCAGTTCCTACTCATAGCGTCCTGTTGTACACCAAGAGGAAACACTGTCTGGTCCAGCGTTATCCTCACAATTGTTGTTACGTTTAAGCCCATTGCTAGTCGCACTGTGTCAATCCATTTCTCTGGGGGTCTCCCTCTCTTTTGCTTACCTTACACTTTACAAAGCATGATGTCCATCTCCAGGGACTAGTCACTCCTGATAATATGTCCAAAGTATGAGAGATGAAGTCTTGCCATTCTGACTTCAAAGGAGCATTCCGACTGTACGTCAAACACAGATTTGTTTGTTTTTCTGGTAGTCCATGGTACATTTAATATTCTTCTCCAACACAATAACTCAAATGCATTAGTTCTTCATTGCCCAACTGTCAAATGAATCTGAGACTACTGATAACACCATGGTTTGGGTAAGGCACACCTTAGTCCTCAAACTGACATCTTTGCTCTGGAATACTTTAAAGAAATCTTCTGCCACAGATTTTCAACTTAGAAGGCATCCTACGTACTTATTTAGGATGTTATTATTATCCTTTATGGTTTTCATTACTATAAAGCATCAGCTAAATGCTGATGGAAAGTTATCTTCTAATAGCTGATTACAAGTTTTGTAAAAGTGTCCTTTTTTCCCCTGATTCCTAAAATGCCGATTAAGCAACAGCAACAAAAAAAGTACATATTTTCTCATATAACATGTCCATGTAAATAACACATGCATGAATAAGATGCAGATATTACATATGGGCAGAGGAAAGTAATGCAACAGGATGTTGTTCAGTTTGTAAAAAACTGCATACTGAAGTATATTTGCATTGCAAAGCAATGCAGCAGTTTACAAGGTAGTTACTAATTTGTGCATAAAAGGAACACCAATGTCAATAACAAGAAAAGAAAAAGACAAGAACTGAATACAAACATTTCTTGCTCAGGATTTAGAGATAAACAATAAACTATGTCACACTTTTTCAACATACTTGGTTGCAGCATGCCTCTCAGGGTGAGGATTGAGTTTACATTTCTCCATTTACCAGATCTCAGTTGGAATCCCTGGTTGGCAAAGACACCAAGTTAACTTGTTGGTAGGGATCACAGCCTGTGACTACAGAGCAGAGATATTCAGCACGTTTAAATGTTGGCTCACTCACTTACCAGAGATGCATATTCTGATTCTCATTCCCAGTGTTTTTTTTTTTCATCCACTTATTCTTTTCAATATATAGTTGTTCACTAAATATATATTACTTGCTATAAGATAAACACTGGACTGCTAATTGAAAGGTCTGCAATTCAAATCCATTATCCACTCTCAGAGGCCCTATACTGGGAAGCCATGAGTTGGAAATGACTTGATGGCACACAACAACAACAGAAGCAGTGAGCTAGATCCAAGGTGCACTATAAAGTCAGAAATGACCCCTTGCCACGTAGAGTTTCCATGTCTAGGACAAAGCACTAAATCACCGGAAAATGGCAGTGGGCAGCAGACGCAATGATGGGGCAATCATGAGTGGACTGCAGCAAGCAAGGCTTCCTGGAAGAACTTGAGGACTCTCTTAGTTTCCTAAGGTTGCGTAACAAAGAACTACAGACTGTGTGACTTATTAGGATAGCCATTTATTTGTTTTCTCATAGTTCTGGAGGTTCCAAGTCAAATCACCCTACCCATGATTCTCAGCTCCCTCCAAGTCACTATGGAAAAATTCTTCCTTGTCTTCCCTAGTTTGGGTAACCCAAGGCACTCCTTAGCTTATCTTGTTAGGACTGCCTTTTGCTGCATGTTCTGGTCTCTCTTCCTCTGTGATAAGGACACTACTCAGATTGGATTAGTACTCACCTTACTCTAGCATGACTTCACCATAATCTAACTGATAACATCTTCGAAGATTCTATATCCAAACAATGTCATGTCCACAGTTTCCAGGGATTCGAGCCTCAACATTAGAGGAGGTGGGGGGAGTATGGGGGATAAGGAGAGTAAATTTAATCCATAACAGGAATGAAAGGATAACTATCCAGATCATTAGACAAAGTAATGTAGGAGCCTTGGTAGTGTAGTGGATTATATGCTGGGCTGCTAACCACAAGGTCAGAAGTTCAAATCTATCAGCTGCTCCATGGGAGAAAGAGGATTTCTGCTCCCATAAAGATTTACAACCTTGGAAACCCTATATAGGGTTGCTAGGATCTGAATTGACTCCACCGCACACAACCAACCAACCAGTATAAAGGCTAATTTGATAGAGGTGGTTATGTGCCATGGTGTCGGTTTCAACTCATAGTGACCCTGTACAGGGTTTCCGAGGCTGTAAATCTTTGTGGGAGCAGAAAGCCTCATCTTTCTCCTGCGGAACAGCTAGTAGTTTCGAACTGCTAACCTTAAGGTTCGCAGTCCGATTCATGACCACTATAATACCAGAGCTCCTTAACTTGATAGAAATACCTTAGAAAGACAAGAATTTGGCCTAGGTGAATGTGAGAAAGTTTGTAGTTGACCAGAAGGAGAGATTAGCATGGTAGAAAGTGAAGCAGAGATGGAGGCTGTTTTTGATTTAGAAGTGTTGTGTTGATTCCTACTCATAGTGAACCTATATAAGGTTTCCGAGGAGCAACTGGTGGGTTTTAACTGCCGATCTTGCAGTTAATAGTACAGTACTTATCCTGCAGTGCCACACCAGGGAACATGGTGGATTTGTACAATAAGATCTGGGTCTACGAAACACAAGGTCAGCAGTTCAAGCACATCAGCTACTCTGCAGGAGAAAGACAAGGCTCTCTGCCCTCACAAAGATTTCGTTTCGGTAACCCTATTTATTCAGGCTCGCTAGGAGCTGGCAGTCAACAACAGAAACAGAGACAGGGGACAGATAATGCATACTCAGAGGCCATATGAAGAGTTGAGGGCTCGACACATTTATTACATTATGGTGGTGGTAGTGATTATGTGCCATGGACTCAGACTCACAGTGGCCCTGCATACAGTTTCTGGGGCTGTAAATCGTTACAGGAACAGAAAGCCTCCTTTTTTTCCAGCAGAGTGGCTGATCAAACTGCTATGGTTAGAAGTCCAACTAGTAACTCACTAAATGACCAGGGTTCCTACCTTATGTTGTCTTCAAAACATAAATATTAAGGTAATAATAGAATATGTGTATCACAACGTTTCGTTCAGTCTTCTTTACTTTTTCCATGATTGTATCATATAGGATTTTTAAAATAAAAAATTACATGATATAATTACTAGAATTTAATCAAGCTATAAAATATTATAGTGATCAGCAACAGTGTACCTTCTTCACTTGTAATTTCTGGTGAGAGAAAATAGAATCTCATGCCTTCTAACTTGTACTGTGGGTGCAATGTGCATTAGAAAAAGATAAAACAGATCAGGAATCTGTTGTGTACTACATTTCTTCACTGAATTTAATATTTAATGTGAAATTCTATCTCTTCTGATTATATTATTCTCTGAAATTTAAAGAGTAGAATGTTAAATTTCATTTATTTCAAGATGCTTGTCTCAGCAAAGAATTGAAAAAATGAGTAACTGAACAATCTATTTTCTATTAGTCAGTGAATTGCTTCAATTGTTTCACTAATATTTTAGGAAGAGAGATGGTTAAGTAGAATTTGGTATGTGCAAAGCCTTCCATTGTAAGACTATTCCCACCCACACAAAGGAAAAATAGTCATTGAAATTACTCTCTAGACATTCATATCAAAAATGCTTCCTTTTATATTCCTGAGGTGAAATTCTTACATTGGCATTTTAGAAAGCAATTCTTCATTAAATAATTGTAAAGCAAAATTGGCACCTCATTTCTATAAAACTCTGTGAAATGAAGAGCAATAGTGTTTCTGGGAGGGAAGTCAGAAAGGTTGGGGTGAAGGAACTCTCAACACAGGCAGCCAATCAAGAGTGGTGGTGGTGGTGTGTCGTCCGAATCACAGCAGCCCTGAATAGGGTTTCTGAGATTGTAAATCTCTATAGCAACACATACCCTCATCTTTCTCCTGCCCAACAGCTGGTAGCTTTGAACTGCTGACTTTGAGGTTTGCAGCCTGACTTGTAACCACTATACTACCAGAGCTCCTTAATCAAGAGAGGTGGTGGTGGTGTGCCATGGAGTCGATTCCGACTCATAGCGACCCTGTACAGGGTTTCCGAGGCTGTAAATCTTTACTGGAGCAGAAAGCCTCATCTTTCTCCCGCGGAACAGCTGGTAGTTTCGAACTGCTTACCTTGAGGTTCGCAGCCCAATTCATAACCACTACGCTACCAAAGCTCCTTTAATCAAGAGTAGATATATCACAAAGTTACCAGGCCACACTGGTTTGCTGCTATCCGCTCCAGGTCAAGCAGATAAACGTGTTTGATTTATTTAACTAATAAATCATAGTTTTCTGCTTGCTGGGGATTTTAGAGGCAAATCTAAGGAAACAAGAAGTATATTATCTCGTTTTATAACAAAAAAAATTGTTTTCAATTTCATGTGAAGATATTTGCTAACTTGTAACAATCTATTCAGACAATCTATTCTATTTATATCTATAAATAGAATGTCCCAAGTCATTTAATAGAATGGTTTTGAGCATTCTATTAATGTATTCTGTTTGCCATGGATTCAACTATTTAAAAGTATAAAGTCAGTGTGGATTTACATGTTCCTTCTAGGCAATATCTGTACCTGTTTTTAACGTTTTAAGGATTGTTTAGGGTTTCTTTAGGTTATAGATATCACAATTTCTGTTTAAATGTGTTGTTCTTGCTGTTAAGTGCCATCCTGTGTAAGGAGCAGTTGGTAGTTTGAGCTGCAGACATGTGGTTCACAATCTAATGTTTAAATTAGCAATAACAAATATTTCAATATTAAGTCAGTATACAAATAAGGAACTGTGGTAGCTCTGGTAGTGATTACAAGTTGGGCTGCTAACATCAAGGTCAGAAGTTCAAAACTACCAGCCGTTCATCAGAAGAAAGATGAGGCTTTCTGTTCCTGTAAAGATTTACAGCCTCAGAAACCCTATGCAGGTTGGCTATATGTCGGAACTGACTCCACAGCACACCACCACCGCCACCATTGTTGTTGTTAAATGCTGTCGAGTTGATTCCAACCCATAGAGACCCTGTATAGGGTTTCCAAGGAGCAGCTGGTGAGCTTGAACCACCAACCTTGCAGTTCAAATGGCTTTGCAGTCTGGTGCATTAACCCAAAGTGCCACACCAGAACTCCATTTGTGTGGACATAAAACCTATGCTGTTAGATTTAGTATCCTTTAATAATAATTAACCACCACCATTAAAGGATCTCTGGTAGCATAGTGGTTACGAATTGGGCTGCGAACCTTAAGGTCAGCGGTTTGAAACTACCAGCCGCTCTGCGGGAGAAAGATGAGGCTTTCTACTCCCGTAAAGATTTACACCCTCGGAAACCCTGTACAGGGTCGCTATGGGTCGGAACCGACTCGATGGCACTTAACAACAACAACAACATTAAAGGATACTAAATCAGTTTGCCTGTATCCATCTCAGGATCTAACAGCATAGGTTTTATGTCCACACAAATGACAAAAAGAAGTGATATTTTGATATTCTAATCTTTATGAAAATCGTGATAATTATCCTATTGGATAGATAGTCTGGTAGCATGGGGCAGAGTTAAGTTTTTAAAGTAAAGCTATGCCTTCCATTTTGTAAAAGAATTCTAAAATGTGTTTCCGTTCTTCCTGTTTCCGTTCTTACAAACCTGGAACAGAATCACGAGTTTGTAGATGAGCAAGTTTTTGAAGAGAGCTGCATGGAGGTGGTAACTGTCAATCGCCCTTCAAGTCACAGTCCCTCTCTCTCATCACAACAAGGCGTCACCAGCACCTGCTGTTCACGACGACATAAAAAAAGTTTCCGCATCCCAAATGCCAACGTATCAGGGAGCCACAGAGGCAGCGTTCAAGAGCTCAGTACTATTCAGATCAGATGTGTGGAGAGAACACCACTCTCGAACAGGTACTTGTGCTGGCTAATAGGGAACCCTTCTCTTTCAGTCTTGCTGCTGCCCCGGAGCCATTTAAACCCTAGCCACCAAGGTGTGGTTATGTGCCGTGGAATCGGTTCCGACTCATAGCGACCCTGTACAGGGTTTCCGAGGCTGTAAATCTTTACGGGAGCAGAAAAAGCCTCATCTTTCTCCTGGGGAACAGCTGGTAGTTTCGAACTTCTGACCTTGAGGTTTGCAGACCGATTCGTAACCACTACGCTACCAGAGTTCCACGTAGCATGAGTTAAAGTTGATACTGTAACAAGTCGGAAAAGTAATCTACTGACACACTGACTAAGAGTCAAAGTACCAGTTGTATCAGTGTCCAAAGAAGGAAAGTCAGTCAGGCACCAACAAATACGTCTCTACCTTGTCAACTCCACATATTTTCGTATCTGAGCAAGGACCCTTATCCTCAGCAGTCCCTTGTAGAATAAACTCAAGCAGCCTGAAATGGTAGTCAGCTCTTTTAAAGAGACACACACAATAAGCATGGGTATGATTACAAATGATCCAGCAGCAACTAAAATGACATCAACACAGCCATATAATGGTGACAGTTAAAACTGCACCTGCAGGAATTTGAATCAATAGTCAATTTTGATCATAAAGCTATTTTTGACCAAATCAATAACAATATCATTCAGATGACAAAAAATAAAAATACAAGATGTGAAATGTTAAAACTGGTTATGGAAAATATCATTGATACATTTATATTTTCCCTTTGCTTGTCTTCGTTTATTATTTATATATATCATAAACATATCTGGGTAATTAAAAGTAGTACATTCAAATGGTCCAAGTCTTTCAAAATAATTTTACTTTTTCCTTCAAATGAAGTAGCTTCTATTTTTAGAATAGCAGTCTGTTAATTCAGCCCTGTGTGTTTGTTGGCACTCCACAATCCTTGTTGAATAGTTGGAAAGGATGCAGAATCCAGGCTACGCTGATTTACATAGAGTAGGTATCTCTGGGAATAGCATATTCAAATTGGGAACAATGAAAGGCTTCTGTCTAAGGTGTTTTGCCTCTGAGTTGTTACATCATTAGAAAACAAAGTAGAAAATGGAGACGTGTTTGGAAAGAAAATCGTAGTGTGTTCACATTTTGTTTTTCATGAAAATATAAAGGGTTTCTAAAGCTTCTTTTATGTCCTTCTTGCCTCTTCCTCTTTTCTCCAGCTGCTCAGCATAAAATAAAAGACTTATGGGAACCTTTGAAGTATTAGATAGTAATGACTAACTTTGGAGCATGGGAGGCGGTTCTCTATTGGTGCAGTGTTACGAACACAGGTGCTAACTGAAAGGTTGATTGTCTGAGTCCACCAGGCCCTTCGTAGGAGAGTGATGTGGCAGTCTGCTTTTATAAAGATCACAGCCTTGGTGATCCTATGAGGCAGTGCTAGTATATACTGTAGGCTTGATATGAGTCAGAATTGACTCCGTAGAAACAGGTTTGGCTTTTTAGTTAACATTGAGACTTAGGAGAGTATCATAGAGCTTATAAAGTAACTGAAGAGATATTATAATAATAAAAAGATTCTGTGGTTCAGAAGCCCTGGTGGGGCACAGGTTAAAGTGCTCAGTTGCTAACAAAAGAGTCGGCAGTTCTAACCCACCATCCACTCCGTAGGGGAAA